CCAAGCTTCCATACTCTCAGTCAATGACATGTCAGTAGTAATCTCGCTGCATCCCAAATCTGGTAACAACGCTCATGCTGCCTTCACTGTGAAAGTGAGTGCTTGTTAGGCAATTATTGAAAAAGCCTACGAAGTTCCAAGATCGATTGGTGTGTGATGCTTAAGATCAATTGGTGCAGGTGCTTAATAAATCAACTACAAAAACACTCAAGCTGATAGTCTTTTGGAACTAGTAATAGTTAGCTTCAGCCATGTATCATTGCAGGCGAATGATTGAAAGGAAATGATGTCAATTACGACAAATGATTATCGTGAAAGTGGTATATTCGTGTAGCAACGTTTGTCCAATATGGCGGTGACAATGGTATGACACGACGTAGGCAAGAGAACACAGAAGGTTCACATCCGGTAACTTACGTTGATCAGACGACATAATGGTGGCAAATGGGTGGGATTAAAATGCGTGTTGAGTGCAAATGAAGCACTTTGGGTGTCGTCCACGTCCTGCTGATTGTTTTCTGTGGTCTGGATTGGATATTGCAATTAATATCTCCGAAATAGCTTGGACAGAAGCAACAATTTTAGGGTCTTTGAAAAATATGCAAATTATCTGCATAGCTGATGACGAGATCCTGAAGTTGTTTTAGGGCTTAGGACTCTAATTTAACACGTGAACGGTTTTGTGGTTTTGGGTGAGGACTTTACCTTTGCCTGTTTGATAATGCATATTGTAGATAAAGTGTCCCGTGTCCTATCCAAGGAGTTGTCCAGAAGTGACATTCACCTCACCAATCTTCCACCCCAACATCAGAAATAGTTCAGGAGACATTTGTCTAAATCTTCTCGAAGAATGGCTTAGGTACGTCTTGCCTGTTTATTTAAGCATGACTGCTGGACCATGAAAGCTCTGTTTTTCTCACTAAGACTGTGCAACACAGGTTCACGCAAGTGCTGACGAACAGGTCTCTGTACTTCATGACGTATGAACAGTTGAAAGGTTTAAATTTGTGAAGTACCAACTGCAAACTCCTCACAGGACTTTGGTAACGACTTGTTAATGTAGGGTTCAATTTATTTGAAGGAGAGTAATTAAGATTGGCTTTAGAATACCGTGTGACTGTTATATTAACTGACCTGTTTTACATTCCATTATCATTGAGGCATGTGGCTGAATTAAGCGTTGCTTGAATATGTAGCTGTTACAGTCTTCTGGATGTAGTGAAATCTCTTCTCTACCTCATCGACAATCCGAATTTTGATTCGGCAAACAACTCGTTCGCATACCTAGAAAACAGAGACTTGTTGGCAAAGAAGACGATGCGGGTTTTGGCAGGTCTGCCGGTGAATGGGAAACGGTTTGCGCCGAATAGGGCGTGGTGCGAGTGGGCCGAGGCCCATGGATGCCTTCCAGTTGGCGAGGAAGAGGATGACATATGGAATGGGGAGGTGCAGGCGGTTTGTGTGGATGTCACCGAGGAATCCTACGACGAGGATAATGGTGTCTCCGATGTCAATGTCTCTGCGTACAAGGTAAGGGACGTGGATTGCCTGATGGCTTTTTTATCCAAGTATGGAATCGGTCAATTTCAGAAATCAGCGAATGTTTATGATGTCGTTTGCCTATATGGTTGGGAAAGTGTCTTCTATCATGTTTCCTTCTGCAGGACGATGACAATGGAGAATTCGATGGTGCTGCAGCCGTGTTTGACGAGAATGTTCTCTCATTTGCAAATATGCGATTTGTCGTTGCTTCGGAGACTGAATCACAAGTTTCGCTGCCCTTTGAAATCGAACACACAGAAGGATTTTTCGAGACCCAGCGTATTCTTGTTTGGCCTCCGGCTGGAAGTCTCAATATCGATATACCCTCGGTGTTCTACTTCTGCGAGCCCCTTGGTGATGATTCTTACCGTATGAAATTTTACGATATCTACAACACGCTGCTTACTGGCAATGTGTTGCACTCGATGCAAAGTCATCCTGAATCGAGACAAACCTCGAGTCTCTGTCCGTGGTACATTTTCGATCATCTTGAGCATTATTCCTATCAGTCGAGCACGACTTCTGTCTCCGACCTAGGCTTCTTTTTTTCTGAAAAAATGTTAACGAGGCCCATATGGACCGACGACTTTTGTCCGTGGTCTCATGTAGACGGAGGAGGTATTTGGGGCATCTTCGGTGGGCTGTTTTGTGAGCGACGACGA